AAAATTGGAAAAACATAAAAATAAAGAACAGACCTTGCCAGCTGTATTTAACAAAACTTGTTTGGATTAATTTGTGCTGCCTATAAGACAACATATGGATTTATACATAAATTTTGAGTTTAGTCCCACACTCTACAAGAACAAAGGAATGGTTCTTTCCTCCAAATTAGGCCAAACTCAAACATTTTACAGTAGAAGTTAGTAACCTTTTTCCCTGAAAATCAGGTCACATAATCATGAGTGAACAGTCAGCCAGATAAATGCCTAAAAAGGCCTAAAAGTACTGGAAATATCCATTTAAATACATATCTAGTTGGATTTTGCCTTAATTGAATAATTAATGCCAAAAAATCATTTGTGCTTAACCAAAAATGACAATCAGGAATCAAAGTCAATTTTGTTGCAATTTATTTCAGTCAAAGCATCTTTTAAATCTGTTAAGTGAAAACAAAAGTCTTTACAGCATAAATAGTATGAATGTATGTGTGCATAAATGAACCTTGCTGGGCTGTAAAGCTCTCTGCGACAGAGTCATCTATGGTACACCAGATCAGATGGTGGTTTCCCAAACAAAGTGGGATACAGTCTCAAAATTTGGCAGAGTGCATATTTTCATTTTAAAAACTATCAAATGAAAAAGGTCTGTAGATATAATTCACACAGTTTAAAAAACAGGCATCTACCCCAACACATGTATCCAATGAAATATAATGTTTCAAGTAATAAGAAATATATAACATCATTTTCAATATGGTGCTGTCATGATGGTTAGCCACAAATAAAGTTTGATACATGTTAGACATGTAAACATTATGCAGCTGATATCATGGGAAATTATTCCTCCTAAGCAAATTCAATAAATATATACATGGGTGTGTGCATGTTTGGGTGTTTTGGTTGTGATGTTTTTTTCTCATTCTAAGATTGGCTAGCAATCTTCAGGTATAACATCTTGAGCCAGGCATCTGTGTTCCCCACTCTTGTTGGTTTGTTTGCATGTGCATGTTGGCCCACTGGGATCTGCAATCTTGGTTTCTCCAAGGTGGGAATAAATACATAAATACATTCAGAATGCAACAGGGGACATGCTTCACCTGATGATTTTACAATGCATATGAAACAGTTATGACGACCCACCCCCAAACACTGCAACAGTATTGCAGCTCAATTGTAAAACACAGAACACTTTATTTATGCCTACCTTCACTCCTCCTTACTTATTTAAAAGATGTGTGTGTGTGTGTGTGTATATATATATATATATATATATATATATATATATATATATATATATATATATATATATATAATACGTACAGTACTTAGGAGAAAGTGCTCAATATCTGTGATAGAGCTAACATATTCAGCCCGTATGGATATTAGTTTGTGACCCTGGGTCTCATGCATTAGTCTGATGATCGTAAAAGCATGAAGCCCAGGGTCACAAATTAATATCTGTACAACTGAATATACATACATGCATATATATATATATATATATTACACACACACATTTTGTTTCTCATCATTTAGTACACGTTACATGCACAGATTTCAATTTCAATTTTGTTTCAATCTGATTGCTAACAAAAATGGGAAAATTGACAGACATTTGTTGATACTTCCTGACAAGTGGACTGAACACTTACTGAAGTGCCATCTACAAAACTCTTGGTTAGAGGTGCTGAATACAACATCACTCAGCTAATCAGGTGCTATAGCCAAAGTATTGGCGATTCTAGCACTGAAGCTATTAACGTCTAATGGGTTTTCAATTTCATCTGCTTGAAAAAAAGCACTACTCAGTTTCAAGCCCCAACAAAGGTTGCAGGAGTAACCAAAAAAAAAAAAAAAAAAAAAAACAACTTTGTGCTTCCACATGCCAACTAAATAAAAAAAAAAAAAAAAATATTTTTGTTATCTACTTTCTGGATTATATATTTCACTTGGGTTATAATAATGATCTAATTTTTTTAAATATCCAAAGTTTATATTCAATGAACTTATCTCAAGAGAAAAAAACTACATAATTTTAATCTATATTAAAGGATGAATCCATGCATAGAGAATTTTCTTTGGAACAAAACAGAACCTGGGGCCAGTACAGGAAGATGTTACGTATGAGCCATTGATGCATTTGCATGGAACATGAAGAATAAGGAAAAACTGTTTGGGGACAAGATAATCACAGTACACAATATATGGGCTAATTAAAATACTTGTAGGGGGAGATGGCTAAAAAAGAAAAAATAAAGATGAGCATATCAATTATAAAGCCCTTAATGAAAAGAAAATTAAAAAATAAAAATAATGGATCTGCCAATTAATACAAGCATAAAACTTTCTTGTAACACTACACTATGTTAGTGTCTATATTTCTAAGATGAGCTATTGTAATTATTTACATTGTTCAGACTTTTGTCCTCATCTTTATTGCCATATTCATGATGTTTCAGCTGTTGTACACTCTAGCCTTTTTCAGGTGGTTGGTATTTCAAACTGAACTCTTTATTTTGTCCACCCGGGTCGAGTGTTCTAGTTCCACATGCCATGCCTCTTCTGGATGTCTCAGTTATCTCCCTTTTACTCAACTCTCCAAATATTTGTTCACCACATGACCCAGTAGATAAAAGCATTGGTTGGATCCAGTGACTTGACCCAAAGAGTTGTGAGTTCAATACTTGGCTACTGCAGTGGTCCAGTTCGAAATTCCAATCACCTGACGAAGGCCGGAGCATACAACAGCCAAAACATTGTGAACATGGCAATAAAGATGGATGACAACAGTACCGAACAATGTAAATAACTACACTATGTAAACCTTAATGAATTGAGATCAAAGACAAAGAATCAGGATGCAGAAAGTCTGTAAAAGATGCCACATAAGCAAACTAAGTGATAATTTTAGCTATATAAGGAAACCAATTATTGTACTACCGTCATCTTTATAGCTATTATCGCAAAGTTTCAGCCAGTGTACCCTCCGACATTCTTCAGATGACTATTGATCCATTGGGTAACCTTCAAGGAATTTTGAACTGAACCCTTTATTTAATCTACATAGACTGTTGTTGTTCCACTGTCCTCATCTAAAGATATCTTGTCTTTATTTAATACTGCTCACCCTGCTTCTATAGATTAAACAAAGTGTTTAATTCAAAATTCCTGAAAAAGACACCCAAGGAAGGACTGAATGGCCAAAATGTTGTGATCACAAAGATGAGGGTAGTAGTTAAAATGTAATTAATTACTCGTAACCCTAGAAATTCAGACAGAGAGGAAATCAATGTTCAGAGAAACTAACTTTAGCAATTTAAGCCTGCAGGATGAGAGCCAGTGTAAAGCCATTTGAAAAACCGGCAGTGCTTCTGAGCACATTGATGCCTCACACAAAAGTGGTTAACACTTAACAGTGTTCATTTCTTGGTTAGAAGAGAAACTGTCCCTAGCACTCAGTCTTGTGGCTATGTTAGACTGGCATTCTAGTTGACAAGATAAAAAACATAAGTAATAGATGACTTCTTAAAGACTACAGCATAAACACCAAAGATGAAGATTAGATGCTGAAAAATATATGAAATAATACAATCATTTTTAATATGCATTTTCATTAAATTCTAGCCTTTTACCAACTGATGCATTCTGTTTTTCTTTTTAAACATAGCAAAAAATAATTTGAATGTTTACTTTGCATTCAAAAAGTTAGTTCATATGAAGATAATTCTTAGTATTTTTACTAGTTTTAATTTTTATTTTATTTGCTGTGAGCTTTGGTTTAAAAAACAAAAAATATTACTTTTTTTTTATATAAAAAAAAAAAAAAAAAAAATAGTAATATTTTAAAAATTTCATTATTACAATTTAAAATTAAATAACTTTCAGGATATTTTTTTTCTAGGTTTATGCCATGGAAAAAAAAAAACATTCCTAGAGCTATAAAAAATAAAATAAATATTTCAAGCAAACAGACTACAACACACAATAATTTTTTCCACTCCTCCCTTAAAAAGATAAATAAATAAAAATTAATAATCCTTTCAAGTTTGTCTTGTAATACTTACCAAAAAGTGAAAACAAGACTTAGAAAATAAAGTGAAAACAATAATAAACTGAACGAAAATATTTTAAAAAATAAATTAGTAGTGAAACTGAATGCAAAAATTTTTCATTAATTTTACTTCGCTCCCCAAAATTAGCGATTTAAAACAAAATGTGGAAAATAATTCTTTAATTTAATTTCCCAAACCAAATTAAAAAAATAACTGATGTAAATAACTGAGATCTATAAAAGATTTAAATGTGTGCGTAACACTGGCTAAAGCTACACGTGCAAAACTGCAATCTGCTATTGTACTTTTTTTAAGAGTTGAGAAAAATAGATAAAAGCAATGTTTTTATTCTGTCATTTTTATAAACTAATAAATAAATATGTAGTGAGAAAAAAAGGGGAAGAACATAAGTAAACACAAGAAAGAAATGTGATTGAATGAAAATAAAAAAAAAAGTCATCTTTTCTGTTTTCTTTTAAAACAAAACAAAGGAATTTTAACACTTAACTGAAAAGTTCTCCGAAAGATACAATACGAAACAAGTTTAGTTTCTTTATAGATTAAAATCAAAGGTAAATATTTAAAAAAAAAATAAAAAAATAAAAAATAAGACGAGTTTTTAAGTCAAGGAAATAAAAATGTAAAAATTAAGAGGAAACACTAAAAAAAAAAAAAAAATAGTGGCGGTAGATGTTGGTTAAAAAAAGGAAGCGAGGGTTGAAAAGGATATTTCAAGTGGTTTTAAAGATAAGGAAAGATTTTTAAAATCTAAACATCGATGAACTGAATTCTCTCCACGTATAAGGGAAACTGGTAATGTATAAAAAAAAAAATAAGAGTTATATTTTAAGCGGGATTTTAGATAATTTTTCTAATGTGTTGAAATTTTATCTGCGGCCGTGTCTATGTTATTCATCGTTAGGGTGTGTTGTGTAAGTCACAAATAAATACCTCTTCAAGCTCATCCTTTGGCTCTAGAACGGACGACAATATCAATTTAGATCCAGTAGGTTTTTCTTTTTCCATTTTTAGTCGAAAACTGCCGGTAAACGCGGGGGGAGTTAGTTAAAAAACTGTCTGTTCATGCTGCTTATAACTACAGACCTTAACAGGTCACCGCCATATTGGCTTAGGATTCTTCCTTCTTGCGTAACCGCCATCGTACAACATACACAAAAAGAGTGAGGGGAAAAAAAAGAAAAGTTTTCTCCCTCACTAGAGACTACTTTACTGAACTTGCGAGAAAAAAAAAATCTTTTTTTTTCCCTATAATACTGAAACACTCAAGGACAATAATAAATGCTAAGTAGACGGAAAATATTATTATTATTATTATTATTATTATTTTTAAACTTTAAATCGCATTTGGGGACATGAGCTAGGAACGTAATTTGATTCACGTGTCGTAAAATTAGTGATTGTAAATTTTGTTGTTTTTAAAATTCCCATTCATAATATCGTCATCTGGATTATCAGTAATAACTTAATTTAAATAAATAGTTCGAAAAAAGATCTTCAATAAAAAAAAAAAAATTTATATGATTTTAAATTGTTTCTCGCAAAAATATCATAAATTGTTGAGTTGGTTGGCGGCAGCTTTTCGGTGATAAGCAAAAATGTATACCTTACTAAATTTTTCTCCTGTTTGAAATAGTTTCCTTTTTAATTTAGATGCAAAAGCAATGTTTCTTAGATTATTTAATTAAAAATAAAATATTTTAGTATTGTAATTTGAAAAATAAACGACACATTAGCTTTTTTTTTATCTATGATGATAAAAGTATAAACATAAAGGATTTACAATAATGAAAGTTTATATCATTTCAAAGAATATTTAAGAACAGTTTATTGTTGAGAGTCGATTATCCACATTCTGAGAGGAGATGATGCCTACAAGAAGAAAATTACTAAGTAAAAAATTTCTAAAATAATGTGTACCATATTTTATTGAAAATTTTACATTAAAAATGTGGATTTGATGGTAATTAAAAACGAATTCAATAATAGATATTTTTTAAAATCTAATTTATAATTTCCAAATCTTTTATGTGCCATTTCCCTTCTAGACGTGTGTGATCATGGATCTTCACAACTTCCTTTGTACCTATAAGAAATGTTGTACCTTTACTATCTCTTCCAGTTTCTCTTCTATCATCCATTTACACTAAACTTGTTAGGTTGGTGACTTGATGCTTCCTTCTGCACCACTTACCTTCAGTAATTCTTCTGAGTCTCAAATTCTCCAAGACCTCATTACTTATTATTTATCCCCAAAATTTTAACTGTTTCTTTCTGATTCTAAGTACACACCTCCTTTAGGTTCCTATTTTCCTTAAAACTTCCTTATTGCTCACATGTTCTGTTGATGGTATTCGTGATATCTTTTTGCAGAACCACATTGTGGTGATCACTTACATGTGCCACACCTCCGCTTTCTTTAATGTCATTGGTTCATAAATATATGATACTTATTATATGACAATTTTGCCATCGCATGTCATTTGAATTTTTCTCTAAAATCACGGATTGGTCCATTTCCTGACCAATCGCGTATTTTAGTATCTTTCTGTATTTTTGGTGCCAAGCTCACTGGAGCCTATGCGTAACTATAAAAACCCTCTCACTGTTAGCCAACAGCTAGTAGCAGTTCAATTCTTGGAAAATACGGCATGGCGTATATTCTTGTGACATTTTAATTCTTAATTATTACTCATTCGAGTAATCATACTAATTCCTATTGATATCACTCATGAACATTACATCTTTCTACACTGGTAAAACACTGTGGAATTATTCTTTATTTAGCCAAGATCTCAATTGAACTTTGTAGTTAAATAACATTCAATATTGTACTCAACATTAATTAGCTAAACTTACCCTTTTTATTATGGAAAAAGGGAAGCAACTTTCTTTATACTATTGTTGATATTTGTATATCATTGTTAATACAATATTTTATTAATGTTCACTGAGCTTGATTATTTTTCTCTTGTGTATGCTGTACATGATTCATGTGGGATGTTGTTTTACAAGAACACAGCTTTCCTTATTGATTACATTCACCGTGACCCTAGCCAACAATTCTTACAGAACCACTACAACATCACTCATGTTTCAAACTTCTTCTTCATCTGTACAGAAATTGTACAGAATTCACTACCTTATTGGAGGGTTGATATTGTGCAGCAGTTTTCCTTATTTCTGACAAAATAAATTTGAAATAAATTTCTTTTTTTAAAAAAAGAAACACTATAAAATGTTTTTTATATAATATCATATGTGAAGTCTTCAGCATTTTATTAGAATTTTTATTAATAAACTTTTCATTATAGTATAATCATGATTAACATATACAAATTATAGCAGCTATCCATTTTTATGAGTTTTTAGTTCTTTCAATGGCCATCAAAATAGTTAAAATCATAGTGTTTGTGAAGAAAAACTTTAAAAATCTATATAAATTAAGATTTGATAAAACCAACAAGTTAGATAGATCTCAGTTATAACAGACACATTATTGAACCATATTCTATTAATTAATCAGTATGAAACAAAATGGAACCTCTTTTTATTGAAAATTATTGAAATAAATTATCCTTACTGAGTGAATACCAACTTAAAATAAAATTTAATTAACTTATAATCCATGGATAAAGATAAAAATTACACAACCTTTGAAACAGATATCAAATTATTAATCTGCAAATTTTCAGCTTTTAATCATGTATAGTTATTAAATTATTAGACATGTTATGCCCTTCAAGTAACACCCTTTAGAATAGATTTGAGCATTTTTCTGTTCAATATTTACTAGTATTATTGTGTTTATCACTATATCCACATATAATCTATAAAAAAAAATGTGTGTATGTCTGTCTGTGTGTGCTATTTATGCATGTCCACATTTCTTGACTAATTTCAATGTAATTGTGCACTCAACTTGCAACTTTATGAAGATGTCAAGACCAACTTTTCAATTTCCAAGCCCCTGGGATTTGGCAAAAAATCTGATAAAACTGAAGGTGGGTACAACTTTTTGCAAAATGCAAGGCAAAGTTACACACAAACGAAATTTTTACTGGATGGGCTGATGCTCTTTGCACTTAATGCAAAACATAGCACATGTTATGAGGTTTATATAGAGTGCTTGATAGTTTTTCTATGACATTGGCTTCACATAAAAATTGCTAAAAACTGTAAAAAATATCAGGTTTTTTGTTCTACTTAAAATAAAAAATTTGAATAACTTCCTCATTTTTTATCAGATTTTCTTCAGACAGATGACAAAAAATTTGCCATCATGCAAGAAATAAGATAATATGGTTTTAGTCCTGCTTGCATCCCTGCATATAACGAAAAATCACGAAAAACTGTTCAAAAAGCATGTTTTTGGCCATATCTCCCTGTTTTTTTCATCTGATACTTCTCAAATATTTGCCATGTAAATTACATATGACACACAAATTGTTATGTGAATGTTTGCTTTAGATTATTTCAGTTAAGTTGACGAAATCTGAAACAAACCAGATCCAAAATTGGCATTTGAACAATCTTTGATGGAAAGATGGCTTGAGAGGGATTATTGAAGCGTTAAGAGGGAAAATTTCTCGAAGAATCTCTTATTAACCCCAGCTTTACAGTAAATGTACAAAGGAGGAAGGGGTGTTCATGCATTTGCACTTGCAGATGAATTAAGCTCTGATGCTTCATTCCTGTTTTTGTTTGATTATTAGATTTGTGAACAATCCCATATTATTTGAAAGTTATTATGGCCATAGGAAATTTACTGAATATCTAAAACATTGAAACAATTTAACCCCAAGAAATGACCACACAAGAAGTTTTTATCAATGGAATTCCTTTATTAAAAACATTTACAAAGAATTTGTCTATATTTCTGAGATGAGGTATTATGTACACTATTTACATTATTTGGATTATCATTCTCATCTTTGTTGCCATATTTATCACAATGTTTCAGCTGTTGTATGCTCTGCCTTCTTCAGGTGGTTGGAATGTCAAACTAAACCCTTAAGTATACATGGTCCAGTGGATATAGGCTTTGGTTAGATCCAGTGACAGGACCCAAAGAGTTGTGAGTTCAATACCTGGTTAAGGCAGTAGAGAACTTGGAGAGGGGAATTAACAGGAGGTAACTGATAAATGACATCCATTAAACAAGGCATGTTGAACTAGAACAGTCCACCCCAGTGAGCAAAATAAAGGGTTCAGTTCAACATTCCAACCACCTGAAGAAGGCTGGAGCGTACAATGGCTGAAACATTGTGATAAGTATGACAACAAAGATGAAGACAATAATGTAAATAATTTACAAAGAACATAACCATAAAAAGATGTGGGGGGAGTAGCTTAGTATATCAACAGATGATGCATGAAAGTGGGGATGTTGTCAGACATTTCTAGACAGAGTAGTGTGGGTATATAGAAAGGTCCAGTTATACAATTGTCAGCCATGTACACCTGGGCAATGCTGGCTATTTTGGCTAATATATAAATGAAAGACAATGTATTAAGAAACACAAAAAAAAAACAATTTTTTTAAAATTCACCCAAACAATTACTGGATGATTTGCCCTTTATCTGTTTTTACTTTACTTTTTCTTTGTAAAAAGTTGCATATTTTCACAAAGCCAAATTTTCGCCACCACCCTCAAACTTCCATAAGATAAACTCGGACAGTATCAGATCCATTGTATTACAGGCCTCTCAATTAATTGTTTATAATTCATGTATTTTATTATACATGTGAAAAAGTTCACAGCACAATCATTTTTTGAAAAGCATTCCAAACCATTTTTTAAAAATCACTGTAAACTTTATGGGAAAATTAGTGACTCCTCATATGAGTCATAACAGAAGAACAAATGACTAGACAAATGAACAGTTTAAAAAGCATTCTTTATATAAGTAATACATTATACAACAAGAATGAGAAGAGAGAATTGCTAAACATATTCTTTTAGCAGTTAATGTTATGGCATTGGGGACAAAGTCTAAATAAATAT